GTCGTGTCCCTCTGTATGCTAGCGTGACATTTCCAGTAGTCCCTTTTATAAAAGCGTGTGCGTGTGTTTTATATACAAGCTTCCCTATTTTACCTCTTTAAAATCATTGCTGGGACCCGTGTTAGCAGCACGTAAGTCAGTCGTGGTTGAATTCAGCTCTTTGTTGTGTTTGATCAAAACCTAAGGGCCACGTAAATAATGTTGCAAAGCAGCAGACATCCACCTTCTTATCTTGATCTCTTTGGCCAGTTCTCATCGGATAACTCGATCACAGCCTACGGAGAGCTGCCTGTAATGAATTCAGGAGGATGCGATTTGGAAAGAAATTTGAGAGCCTCGGGGAGACTCGTGACGATCAAAGACGGGCGCATCTGAAAGTTAATGACATTTCTCTTAGTCTAGACAGACATTGGAAGGGGTGTGAGGGACACCCTAGCGGTTCAAACAAGGGCTAGTGAGAAGTTCAGCGCTCGTTTTAGGCGCAGACTTTGCTGAATGAAGAGCAGCAAATGTCATTTTGTTTCCAGCTCGTATGCGAAGAGACCCTGCTGTGGGTCACTATTGCTTTCTGTCCCTTCCTCTCTCCCACCCGGACGTCTTATCATCTACAGGGAAATGCCTGAAACTGCCCAAAGGCTTGCAAAGAAACCAACCTTGCTCAAATATGTGTTTAGCTCATGAGAGAACAAGCATGTCCTTAAATTGTATAATCAGGGCATACCACTTCGTTAACAGCAGGGCATATTGATTACAACAGGAAAATCACATTTGTTCATCAGAGGCGAACAAATCGATGCCTTCTGTTTTTCCCCCCTCTCCACTGGCTGTGCATGCGGGATATAGCTTGCAAAGGCAAATGTGAGCTGCGGGCTTTATGCTGGGATCTGAGCTATTTCAGCTGTTTGCTACAGTCCTCTGCCAGCTTGCGTTGCCAGCTCCCATGAGGTACACAGGACAGAAATGGCATCCCAGCTGGTACGCTGGCTGCTGCGGATCTTCATAGAATTACAGGCCTGGACAGATCTCGGGGTCATCGAATCCGACCCCCCTGCACAGATGAAAGATTTTTTGTTGTTGTTCCCAAAATGCTGTTTGTAAACACGGCAAGGGATTGTAACCGGTCGGACTGTGCCCTCTACTGACTGCTGAAAGGAAACCGGATGAGGAATGAGGGGGATGAGAGCTTTCCCATCCACATTGCAAAAAGGGAAGTGATTCCCGGGAGCAAAGCACCGAGTCTGTAGCACGCTGAGGCCCAGCAAAGAGCCGGGTTTCTAATTCACGCGGCAGTGCAGAGCGTTGTTACACAAGGGTCCGGCTCTGCATTTCCAGCCCTTGTGCGCGGTACACCCACTTTTTGGGGGAGTTGCAAATCAAGTGAGTTCTGTTTTCCTGGACATCTCCCAGGACTGACACGTGGTCTTTCACTCCAAGTTTCAGGGTCCAAAAATTTTGTATATAATAACTCTTGTACTTTCTGTACCTAGCTGGCTGCCACATCTTCATTCAGCTCCTAGAAGACGAGTATTTGTGTCCGCATCTGCCCCCCATGTTCATAACCACCCTAGTCCGTCACCCTAATCTTTGGACTTGTCTGTAAAACAGCGACCCTGTCTTTCAGATTCCTCCCCAGGACCCATTTCTATTGCACTGCCTATGGAGAAATTAGCTGCCTAATTGGTGAAAGGGCAGAGACTGAGTTTTCCTGTGTGCGTAGGTCGTGTCTAGTACTCCTACTAAGAATCACACCCTTATATTGGTACTTTCTGCAGAAAAGCCAAGGATTAAAGGGGCACCCTGAATATGTTCTCACTCGAGAGGTGATCCGCCTAGGTCTTGGTTGAGGTATGTGGATTGGAGAGGCTGGGCAAGCTGGCATCGTTGCTCCCAGACATGACGCCGACTGCTGCAACCACAACATTTTCTCCCTTAAAAAATCCAGCTTTTTCCTTTCTTAATAAGATTTGGGAGAACAGAGGAAATGTCCCTTGTTTTTTTCCTCCTATAATAAGCCTTTCCACTGACAATCATTTGTGCCTAGGGAAGCGTATTGCCCCAAATGTGTTTGGCTAACGAACCTGCCTAAATAAGCTTTTGCTATTTTTAGATGGATAGATAAAAAAAAAAGCAGAGGAGAGTTTGGAAACCCTGCTTTTGTAAAAAATGAAGTTCTCTCCGGGAGCGATACAGGCACTTATTGTGAAGTGGGGATGAGTAACGTTTGTAGCTGGTCCTGCCTGCCTTTGTTCTGGCTAATTTATGGGGGGGGGGGGGCAGTTTCTTTTCTTTTCTTTTTTTCCCCTCTTTTCCTTTTCATTCCTGCCTGACCTTGGGGAGACACTGCTGTCTCTGCAGAATTCCTTGCTTTATCAGAGTTTTCTTCCTTTCAGCCGAATGCCTACAGTGCTGGAGGAACATAGTTCAAGGCTTTGTTGCAACGTGTACCTCCCACCTCTGTTCTTATGTCCCCGTTGGCTTTGCTGAACTTTTCGCCCCTTGAGAACCAGGAGGAAAAACAACAACCCCCGAAACCGCCCAGCCCCAAACTCTGCAGCTTCTTGATGAACTTTGTCAATACATGGCAATGGAGGGCAGCAAACGCAGCGTCTGCCCCGGGGTTCACTGTTTTCTCGTCGTTCGATGAATAATCCTGCTGTGTATCTTCCAAGCAGCTTTACTCCCCCGGGACAAAGACCTTCGAGTCTTTGCTGAGCGTGAGTCAGGTACTGCCTGCTGCTCCCCAGGTGTAATCCAGATTAAATCTATTGACTCGTGTGTACCCAAAGGGATTATCCCTGTAGGCCACGTGCATACAGAAGCCATGCTGTCTTCTTCAGTCGCATACACTTGATGCTGGTTTTCAAAGCCTAACTGATGACCTGCTGTCTTCTTCCTCTCTGTGCCTGCTCATTTTTGTACTGCAGCGTGCACTCATATCCCGCAACAATTCACCCGGCGTAGGAAAGGCGTCTCCCGTCTTTCTTCCAGCAAAGACATTTTGATTAAAACTCTTGCCTTCCCCTTAACTGACCTGCACAAGTGCACTTGAAGTGCACACCAGGGTATGGTGCAGGTCAGGAGTTGGCCAATTTATACACACTCTGCTTATCCTCTGGTGGAAACAGGAGACCTGCCGATATCGCAGTATATTTGTTACCGTCTGCCTCTCCAAGCACGTGTTGGCATGTGATACAACAGCTATTACACTTGCTAGTTGTGTGAGCTTCTAGTTCTTGGTGGTCCTGCAAGATCCCAGATGTGCCAAAATTAATCGTGCACGTTGCGTGTCTAAGGCATTTCACTTGCTCCTCCGGTTTGGAAGACGCTGCGCTTCTGCCAGGCCTTGCCAGCCTGTACGACAGCTGAGGAGAGTGCAGGAAGCCCAGTGACACTGGAATCGATCATTCTTTAACGTTTGAGCCCAGGTCTTCCTGTGCATTCGCACCATGTCTCTCGAGTGGGACCGCAGTCAGATCAGGGATCTCTGGGTGGTCTCAGAAGAAGGCAATCCAAGTGAAAAGGCAAGGGCTCTGGGGATTGCATCAAAACAGGCATGCCTGTCCTGTCACTCTTTCTGAGCTCACCAACTGTTCTGCTGGGCCCCAGGCACTGAATTTAAAGCCCTGTATTGCTTTTGGTTTGGTTTGGTTTGGACTTTTATTTTGCAGTTCTGGATAGAATAATCCTGTTGTCTTAATGCTGTCTTTCATCAACCTTGCAATGCAAGTTCGCCGTCTCCCTGATCGATCAGTCTTGTACATTCACGTGGTCCTTTCCTGTGCCTGCCTTTATCTCCCGCTCTTAGTTTTGCCCCTTCCCAAAGCTGGCAGTCCTTGCGAGAGCCTCCCACAGCAGCAATACATCCAAGGAACTATCTTTTGCCTTTTCTCACCTGTGGTGGAAGTTTACAAATGTTGCACACG